TCTTGGACAGTCTTTTGGCTCTCGTCTCTGCTCTCATCTGCTTGGCAGCACACACTTTAGTGGATGCTCTTTTGGCTGTAGCTCTTAGCTTTTTGACCTATTTCTGTGCTTATGCCAAGACACCACAACAACTTTTGCAGTGTTTTTGTGGCTGCTGCTGCTACTGCTGTGTCCCGTGATGTTGTTTTAGAAAGCTGTTGATAGAGTTTTATATCCTTTTAATAATTTGACTGGAATTAAAGCTATGTAATTAATGTCACATAATTCACTTCCTTTGAGTTTGTTATGTTTGTAACAGCATGTAAGCATCATATTGTTGTGTTCTCCTGTGTAGTCTGATGTGACGCACTTAGGCCATGAGTGACTAGCAGACCTGCTGACCCACATCCTCACTGCTGCATTAGCACAGAGCTAGCCAGGGAGGCGTGCATGCAGGCCAGCTAGCTTCCTGCTTTGGCAGTGAAAACTAATGGCTTTAGCATTCTTTCAGTCAGTTACCAACTTACAACCAGTGTAAGCTTTATGGGCACTAAAAAAAGACAGGCAGTATACTGACTTTGCCTGGAAAAGCTTAATAATAAGCCAGTATGAATATCACAATTCTCCAACCCTGGCAAAAACCAGAGGATAAACCTTGATTGAAGGCCCTTTTGTGATTTGACAATAGATGGTTGTAGTCCAGGTTTCTCTGTTGTTGTTGTTTTTCTTTTCACTTTCATTTCTCAAGAAAATAATCTCAGTTCTGCCCTTCATGAGTGAATACAGCTATTTAGGCCAGAATCCCCCTGCTGCTGCCTGACTGCAGTGGAGTGGCAGGAAGTTTGCTCCGGCTACACACACACACACACACACACACACACACACACACACACACACACACACACACAAATCTCTGTTTTACTATGTTCCTGGGGACCATCATCTACATATGTATTCCCTTACCCTAACCTTAAATGTCACAACTCAATACCTAACCATAACCCCTAATCCAAACCATAACCCTCAATCAGCCTTTAAAACTTGTGGGAACCAGTATTTTGGTCACCACAAAGCTGACAGAGCCCACAAGTATAGTGGGCTCCAGGTTTTGGGACCCTGTGGAATATCGTAAAACAAACACATACACACACACACACACACACACACACGCACACACACAAACCACCTGTATGCTGACTGCATTTAATGTATTTAGAAAGGCATTTCCTCCTGAGGAACAAACCTCTGAGGTATTTTGCAGGCCAACACCTATCGCTCACTGCATTCATTCAGCAGCAGCGGCCTCACTAAGTACTGAAAAATGACCAGGGTTCATCTGTGTTTGACCTTTGCACAGCAAAGAAGAAGACATTTTGCAATTACAGCCATAATCGCCACACATTCCTACATCCAAAGTACAGATACCAGTACCAGAACCCTCCACAGGAACAAAACTGAGTCTGCTCGGCCCCCAAACAAGAGGTTTCAAATACGAACTAATCCACCTTGTAGATGGAAGGAAACAAGCCACACGCAATAACACTGTAATAGGGCTGCTACTAACTTTTCATCATCAATTAATCTGCCAGTTATTTTGTCAGTTAATCAATTATTCAGTTGTCTAAAAAATGTATAGAAAATGGTGAAAAATGGCCGTCACAAAATCCAAAACCCAATAGTCCAACATCCAAACATACTCAGACTGAAAATTATTTATTGTGAAAATTTCAGTCACATCATGTCCTCCATGTGATTTATTTATTTGTTGAACTCTTTTCACATAAACACATTTAAAAGCAGTTTATAGTAATGAATTTAAAAATAACAAAATCACGCAAGCTGTTTCCTGTTTCCTAGTTTTGTGTCGGTTTTCCACCACAATAACAATAATTCAAGTAACACGTTATTATGCTGTGTCGTAAAGATAAGTTCGGTGGGAAGAATCCCATCATAGCAGTGTGTGTAGAAGTGATTTGGTTGGCCTGCGTTCCTCGGGCAGGGTGTGTTTGTGTGGTTGCTGAGGGACTGTAATCTTTGTGGTTGCACAAAAGTCCCTCTGCTGCTCATCCAGTCATCTGGAAGATGAGCACTGCCCCGTGTGTTGAATTAGCTCGCTGGAGTATGATTGTGCCTGTCAGTGTGGCCTCTTGTTTTGTTTACTGCAGCTGAGCAGACCGTATCTCTTCCTGTGGTTACATGGACAGATAGCCCTAAATTACTGTCTGGGGCCTCGGCTAAGTTGTTTATTTGTGTATTTCTCAGCGTGTGTGGTGTGTTTTTTTCCTTCCTGCGCCTCTTGTGTCTAGACTGTTGGTTAGAGTGTAATGCTCAGAGCTGACTGTTTTCTTAACATGTATAGTCCCGCCTGGTTCTGTCCTGTGGTTGGTCTGCCGGTGGGCCAGAGAGAGGGTGCAGCGCTGAGGGTTGTGACGCCACTGGGCAGCAGCTGGGCTCATGATTTACAGGCTGAAAGAAGGAAGTGTTACTCAGTTTGCCTGTGAGTGTTTTCACTGCCTGATCCATAATGTCTCTCTGGTCTCCACCAAACCCGAGCTGAGGAAGTTTATTATCCTTGACTTCAGCTCCTGTGTGAAGATGTTCTGTTTTTCTCTGTTTTTACATCATTGTAAAGTGAGTATCTTTGTTGTTGATTAGACAACATTTGAAAACATCACCTTGAATTCTGGGAAACTGGGATTGACATGTTTCAATATTTTCTGACATTTCAGCCAAGAGATGTGTTAATATTTTGTGTTGTGGGTCCAACCTCAAAAATGAAATTGATTACATTAGTTAAAGTGCTGCTTTTGCAGGTTGTCTTATGCTGCAGTAATGCAATGTCAGCAACAAAGCTGCAACTAATGAGTATTTTCATTATTATTTAATTAAGGATTATGTTCTTGATCAATCAATCAACAAATAAAACACCAAAAAATGTAAATCAATCAAAATGACTGCTGATTAATTTTGTTGCAGCTTTAGTTGACAGAGCTGTGGGAGTGTAAATGCATTTAAGGCTTTTTGCTAATAAATGAAACCAGATACAAAAAAACAATATGTGACTCCATTTTAAAAAAGCTTTATTGACAGTCTTAGTGTTAACATTGGATTTTATTGAGGTGAAACTGTCAGAGATGGCGGCTTTGCAGCCTCATATAATCACAGTGTAAATCTTATGACGTGAATGTGGGATTTCAAAGAAGAAAGCAACCAATTCATGATTGGCTCTGTCTGCTTTTTCCAATGAATTTGCCATGACATTATGGTGATCGTTACCAGCCTGTTTGGAGTATCCCTGAATTTCATCAACAGTGTATAACTATGTGACCCCCTGACTGTTATTTTGTGTGTTTGACCCTCTTACCCCGCTCACTGTAGACAACAGTCAGCAGTATGACAGTGGAGCTGGCAGCCAGACTCTCCCTCCCCTTGAACTGCTGCTGCTCTCATCCTTTTTTCAACGTCTTAAACACTGAGCGCTTGATGTGGAGAGGAAAGCGATCTGAAATCATCAGCCAGGACCAGTTTCTCATCAGAGGTTGGCTCAGGCTGCTGCAGTGTTTGAGCCAAGGTTGATGAAGTTCAGAGGCACAGACAGATGCACCAGCCGTTAAAACTGAGCCAAGTTTTACAGCAGTTAATCTTGACCTACCTGACCCATGTAGTTTAGTGCTGAATGACTTTGTCCAGGTGTTTTAGGGGTGTACATGTGTGTGTGTGTGTGTGTGTGTTTAGGACAGAGACACAAAGATGCGGTGTAGAGTGCATGTTTTTGTTTTGGCTGTACTTGGTGGGAAGCCAAGCATGCCAGTGGAGTCTCTCAGCTGTGAGTCATGTGTGAAAGGGCCACACCGCATAGTAAAATACCTCACTACCAGGTAGTCCTTTGTAGCCCGCTTATTTTTAGAGGCTGCTCAACCTGCTGCACTGGAAGCAGTCACTCTGCTTGTAAGTCCTGCTTGCCTCTCTCTTTTCATCACTGTTTGTTGTTGTCTTTGTAGGGTTAGGGTTTCCCGCCCCTGTTTGCCCCCCCACCTCCCCATCACAGTCCCGTGATGAATAGTGAAATTGATTTCCATCCTGCGGGAATCTCACAGGAATTCCAATGTATCAAGATTGTTTGTGTTGTGTTACTATCAGCAAAAATTGGGTACAGGTTAGTAGGTTATAGGTTTTGCAAACTTCCAAACATCAATATCCAGCATTGGTCTCAAAAATCCAACATTTAGGCCATAATAATAGATAGTGATGGTTTGTGATAGGATCAAAAAACTAAACCAAATGTGTAACAACCTAAATTTAACAATATTGCATTTTCAGTAAATTGCCGATATTAGGGAGTAAAAACATTCCGATATTGATATATCGCCGGATATATATGTATATATATATATATGTGGAAAAGATATATAATGAAAGCAGGATATTTTACAGTTTAACAATAAACTTTATTGTCCAAAAGGACATCAGTGCACCGGAACAGTAAACTTCACTGGGAATTAAACAAAATAACTATGAATAAAAAAACATAAGAACAAATATGTATATATTTCAAATATGCTGCCTATATAACTTGACTTGACCTGAGCATTTCCACTGCATTATTGCTTCTTAATAAAAGTATTCATATCAGCGCATATCGGAGAATATATGCGCCGATACCAATATATCTGTGATAGGCCGATATCGGCTGATAAATCTGTCTGGCTCTAGTTATTACCGTAGTAGAAGGATAATGTTTTTACATGAAAGTTATTCTAAATATTACTTGAACATATTGTTCATTACAATGTCAATTTGATCTTTTGTTAAATTCTGTGTGTTATTGTTTTCCTTATCCCCACCCTCTCTTTCTTTTCCTAAACTTCCTCATCTTATCGCTCCTCTCCCACGGCCTTCCTCTCTCTGCCTCTCCTTTCTTCTTACTCTTCCTTGTTTCCCCCTCGTTTGACTTCCTCTCTTTCTTCCGCCGTCTTCTTTTCTTTTTCTCTGTATTTCCTCCTTCACCCTGTCCTGAGCAGAGGTGGTGGTGGAGTTCGAGTATGAAGCTCTCCATGACGACGAGCTGACCCTGCGGCTGGGCGACATCATCAAGAACGTGCGGTATATAGAGGAGGACGGCTGGATGGAGGGTGACCTCAACGGGAAACGGGGGCTCTTTCCCGACAACTTTGTGAAGGTGAGAAGAAGATGCTTAAGTTTATGTTCATTTGACAGGTGTAAGTGGGGAAAAAAGGTGCGAAGAAAGAGGCGAAAATTTGTGTGTTCACTCAGGTGTTGTGTTTACATCACTGCTGATCAGAGCCGGAGACGATAAATACCTGTGACTGCTGCAGAGTCATCAGTAAAAAATAAAGAGTCAGATGTTTCCTTCCAGCCTTTATTGGTATCACAAGGACAATTTCAAAGCAGCTCTTAATCTGCTCTGTGTTTTCCCTGTTAGCCTACAAACTATTGATAGCGTGGGTTGATGCAGTTTGATGTTTGTTAAGGGAAATTAGATTTTAGAATCATTCAGCGCCACATGATTTTACTTCCTTTCATCGTGGCAAAAAAAAAAAAAAAGAATTACTAATTGTCTAGATATTGTCATCAACAGAGGGCTTTTAATTTGACGCAGTGAACACAGCGCACAGTTTACTCCATTTTACTCCTCAGGCTAGGGCTGGGCCACATAATTAATATGATTAATTCTAATTTCTGTTTTTGCATCATTTGAAAATTATTACAATGTGCACATAAAGGCTATTTTAAGTCTTTTGTTTTAAGATTAGAACTGGCTACATTGGCCATCTTTAGTCTAAATCCTTGTTTCCTGTTTTCCTGTTTGATTCCAGCCTTAAGTTTGAAATTAATGTTAGCTAGATGGTCCAGTCTCACTTTTATCATCTTAAGAAATATTTGATTTCAGCTCTAAGTACATCAGTTCATACCTGGCGTGAGAAGACATCATGGACAAAGCCATCTCCACTGCCACTATTTGCATTACCAAATAGGTTTTCTTTGTGACAAATGAATAACTGAACAATATACACAGCTCCACTGCCAAAAAAATCAGTTTAATTCAAATGAATTGATGTGAAATGTCACTTGCATATTGTAAATGATGATGAGACTAGACCATGCTCCCAGTTAAATTTGGAAACTCAGTTTGCAGTTGATGATTGCAGACACTTAACTATACAGCAGACCAGTAGGATCTGTGTAGAGGTGAGTTGAGTCATAGTCATCTCTTGTTGTGTCCTGGTCGAGCACTTGAGGCACCTCAGTGCTCTGCTGTGAAATCTCCTTTCTCTGTGCACCAGCTAATGCAGTGTGAAATGAGTCTACTACACTGCTTCTGGCCTCTCTTCTCTCTCATCTCTCCTGTTTTCCCCATCCCATAATCCTGTGTAGTGAGATAGGTAATCTGCTAAACAGCCTGGCCCAGTCACTGAGCTTGGATAGTTAATCCTCTAAGGAGCCTGCTGGCTGTTGAACTTTACTCCCAACAAAGTTACAGTCAGCTGAGATGTTGCATTTCTTCTTCCTGCTCCCTTTAACTGGCGTTGTAGCTGAGCGATCGGGGGACATGAGACATGGCTGCGATGGTAAGGAATGTAACTGAGCTCTGCCGTGGTTAGTTAGGATTAACTGAGTTTATCTTGTTGATTAAGTAACTTTAAATGATCATAATCAGTGGAAGATTGCCATAAAGATAAAAATATCCGTGTGTGTTTGATTCTGCTGAGTAATTCACTGTACATACATACAGTGAATTTGGGGTCTGCGTTCTTTGTAATTTGTAGTGACACAAGTATTAAAGTAAAGCACTTGAACAAAGCTGGAAGGGTGAACAGCTGGAGTGATGGATTTATTTCCAGAGATAGATGTTTCAAAAGTGTCTTCAGCCCAAACTGGAGCCTGAATACACCCACAATCTCCTCCTTCTTCTCCCTCTCCTTTCTTTTACCTTCTCTCTCCCTCCCTTCCTTCTCTCTCTTGCGGTCCATCTTTAACTGTTGTCGACACTGTTGTGACGTCAGCTATGCATGCTAGCTCCTATCTAAACAAATAGACGTGCTGTTGCGTTGATAGGGGACATAGTCAGATAGACATGTGCTGGCAGATAGAAGTGTAGCCTTTGTAATAATAAAGGGTTATTGTGCTCAGGAACCGATAAGCAGAATTGAAATTCAATTGGCATTTTGGATTCAGTTCTAATTTTGAACAAATTTTTGTTGCCACCCACTTTTCACTGCTTATCCTGGATGTGTATGATTTTATGTGAGTGTGTGTATATGACACATCGGAGAAATACAGTTGGTGATTTTTGTTTTAAATTTTATCACGACCCACTTTAAGTAAACAGGAGAATGAATCTGACACGAGGAGAGTGTCAGTGTTCAGGAACAGAGGAAACATGTTGATGGGACATTATGAGCCTCAATGATGTAAAAAAAAAAAAAAAAAATACAAAAAAACTGAAGAAAGAAAAAAAAAAAAAACAAGATATCAATTGTTTTATGAATTCAATACATTAAGACAAGCAAACATTAAAGTAACATCCACCACTAAACAAGTAACTTAATTTAGTATTCATTCTCTAGTAAAACATCAGTCAACAGATTTTGCCACATTCAATAATTTGGTAAAAGTATATTATATTAATTGAGCTGCGCTGTGGACTAAAACTTTAGACTTGTTTTCTTTTCGGTCTATATTTGTTTACATTTTGTCAAATTGGCAAAATATGCTGAATTAGCTCTTTAACGCCTCCTGATTGCAGTGTACCCGTGGATGTACAGACACTGGATTATTTTCACACTGATAAGATCTTTGATGAGAAAACATGATTATTCTCAGGCAGGTTCTATGATCGGCGTCATTTTTTCCTAAGCAGATTTAGACGATGATGAATGTCACAGATACTGATACACTCAGAAGCGCAAATCATACTGAATGGAGAGATGTGTGTTTCATGTCTGTGTGTTGAGTTGTGACTCAGAGAATCCACTTTTTAAAACAAATTGCAGCGATCCAGCGCTGAGGGTTTTAACGTAGCTTAATTACCTCCACAAGTGAATAACAGTTGATGCTCCAGCTCCAGCTGCTGACTGTTAATGGTCAAACTACAGTAATTACCCTCCTTATGATTTTAGAGGCCCCCCTCTCCTTTTGTTAGTGGAGCACGCCTCTTATGTTCCCTAAAGGACACATTATAAATTGACCAATACTGCATTTGTGAAAGAAATCAGCTGAGATTTAAGACAAACACAGACTGCACACAAACATGTTAACGCTTTCTAAATGACCTCAAACATATCTTTGCCATCTCTCTACCAGTCTTTCTTCTTTTTCTGCTGACTTATAAATCAATATTTATCTATCTACAATAAGCTAATACCAGCTGGTTTATGAGTCTGGCGAAGTTCCGGCCTTAATGAAGACTACCTTTTTAAATAATGCCCTCCCCTTTATTTATGTCCCCTGTTGGTGATGGAAGTGGATTTTCATTAGATGAAATCATAATAGGGGGGTCACTGTTATCTGAGAGATCCACTCATGATGATTATGAAACTGTAAAACCGCCAACTTGATGCTCATGTTGCCGTGGAGATCTTCCAGTCCGAGCACCGAAGTCAGTGCTGCTGAGAGAAAACACATCTACTGGCTGGGATGTGCTTTAACGCAACGGTAATTAATTTCACCTCCTACAGTAAAGAGCAGAGTGCTTCTTAGAAGTGAGTTGTGCTGTTGTCTTAGCAAAGTTCACAGTTTCAAGCATAAGATTGTCAAACACAAAAAGAAACTGAGAAAGCTTCTCAGTTAGCTTACCACGCTGGGAGAAGAGATGGCGCCTGTGTTTGATGTCCTCAGTGTATGTGCGATCTAATTAACACCCTGGATGTGTGGCATCAGTAAATGGAAAACAGTTTGTCTGTGTGTGTGTGTGTGTGTGTGTGTGTGTGTGTGGCGATGTGTGGTCACACTTGTTAAGCGCTCAGCAGAAGAGACCCCTTCACACTCTTCAGCATTGTGGGTGAACAACTCACTGATAACTGAGAATGGCAAAGTAACACGTTTGTGTTTATTAATCGGCCTCTCATACTTTTCTCTTCGTAGTTGTCAGTTTTCTGCGGCAGAGCTGTGAACTTTAATGAATCTGTCTCTGTAACTGATTCATTCTTACCCACACACACACACACATACAAACACACACACACACACACACCCACACACCCCAACACACACACAGCTGGACTTCCTCTCTAGTGAAATTGCAAAGTCAGCGTGTGTGAATCAGGAAGTGGATAGTGGATCATTGTTCAGCTTCTCTCTCTCTCTCTCTCTCTCTCTCTCTCTCTCTCTCTCTCTTCCTACTCTCGTCAGGCTCTCTCCTCTCTCTCTCTCTCTCTTTCTCTCTCTCTCTCTCTCTCTCTCTCTCTCTCTCTCACATTTAATTTAACTGCTACATCTGGAAACGACTTAGCACCAGTCCAATCTCTTTTGGTCTACTTCAATCAACAATCATGAGCATTTCTTTATATAGCAGGTTCGTTTTGAGATTTAAAGATGATATACTGACTCTGCTGCCCTGTTCCTGGGTCTGGGATCTCCTTTTGATCTTCAGTTTACACTGAGTGACAAACAGGAGTGACCTGGGGGTTGCAGGATATGCTGAATGTCAATGAAGAGATACCAAAACTGGTGTTACTTACATCTTATCTATTCTGAACAATTTAGATGCAGTATGGTAAGTGTGGTTAAGCGTCTGAGTTTTGAGGTAACCATTGAAATACTTTTCAGCTGCAGAAAGCAGGACTGCACCACCCTCTTAAACCTGGTCCTCCTGATCACAACCGAACATTGCTAAATGTTTCTATTGCTTCATGTTTATTGACTCATAAAATACAATAATATAAGTTTGTTTTATTAAAAAAGAACAACTGAATGTAACTCGTGATAATATCATGTATTGCAATATTTGAGATGGACTTTATCAAGATGATTATGCATTTCACCTATTTGACATCCTTGATTTCCAAGTTAATAAAGACCATCACACATAGTCAGGAGTAAAAAGAAAGGTTTTTTTTTCTGTGCCTTCATTGTTGAGAGATTTACTATAAGCCCATTATGAGCCTAAATACAGTTTGGGTCTCCTGGTTTTAGTGGAAGGCATATTTGGGAATTATCTCCATATATGATGCACGTGTCAGTAGCTGCACTGAGGTGAAAAGGTCTTTAACAGGAGAAGGAGTTAGTTTGGACTTTTAGGATTTACCTGATAAAACTGATTGTGATGTTAAGTAAGACACTTGGACCCCTACATATTAGTTTTCATAGCCACCTGGTCATTGACTAATGTGTCAGTAATGTCACATGCACATAGTCAGAGAGGGCTGAGTGGTGAAGGCATCAGTGTCCTTCCAAAGAAAACATGCAGTTTAGGTTGATTTGAGTCTCTTAAATGACCCATAGGTGTAAATGAAGTGTGAATGTGGCAGTCTGTATGCGCACGTTTATGTTGGCGTATCCACATACATCTATACACTTGCCATTTATTATCCTGATTAGTATTTAGTGAAGGTGTGTTTTGGACTTTGCGCTGTTGTCAGGGAGTTTCCCAGGCTGGGAGAATGTGGCAGCTGTTTTACAGCCTCACTGTGATGTAATTGGGATCATTAGCAATAGCTAGATTTAGCATGAGTGGGCTGTGACTAGCACAATGCTGCATTGAGCGCTGGTGCTGGTTGCCATAGTTCCAATTTATTCTGTGATTCTGTAGCTCACCAGAACGCTGATCGTCACGTCACACACTGTTCACTTCCCCTTATGCGATGTGAAAACGATGCATGTTGGTTCACATTTCCCCTTTCCATCTCAACAACATCTTGATAATCCCTCTCTGATGACACTGTCAGTGTCTCAGGTGCCTGCCTCCTTTCCGATGTGCATTTGTGTAAGCGTAGCTGTTGTATGTAGTTTGGAGATGAGTTTTCTTTATTGTCATTGTGGGAAAAATGTTTCTCTGACCACATCCAGAGGATTGATGACCACACTGTGTTTGGCTGCAGTCCGAAGGGGAACAAAGGGGTTTTTGGGGTTTTATTTTGCTGATCTTCTGACACAGTATGCATATCCTCATCTACTTAATTCAGGATTATAGGTTGAGGTTAGAAAATATTGTTTATGGTCAGTGGTCAGGACATGAGTAGTACTTAATGTGTGTGATGTGTGTTTTTGTCTTTTTAGGAAGTGAAGAAGGAATCCAAAGAGGTCAAGGAAACAAAGAACGAGCCAAAAGAAGAGGCCTCTCAGCCTCCGAGGAGAGAGAAGAGCGCAGGGAACGTGGCCAACCTGGTTCAGAGGATGAGCACCATCGGCATCCCGACCGGCGGCTTCCAGCCTCAGCCGCCCGCAGCCGCAAAGAGTAAGATGCTTCAGTTTTGTGTGTGTTCGGATAAAGTCATACCTCGTACATGGGATGTCACAATACCAGAAATTTGGTCTGTACCAACACTGTTGAAATTCTGGCACTATCAATGCCTGAGCTGTCTTTTTCACAGCGGACCTGCTACTGTGCTCTGCCTTCACATTTAGTCTACTTTGACATCTTCGCTACATTCAGTGCCTATGGTACTGTAGAAAAACAAGTACCGTCATGTTTTCAGCATTTTGGCATTGACTTGTACTGAAGTCTTGTGACATCCCTACTTCTTACTGCAGCTGGCCATGCTAGACTCGCTGAACGGATATTGACGGGAACATTTTCTTCAGTTTCTTAAGAAATGATGTTCAGATTTTTATGAACATTTATGGAGGTGTATGACTTTGTACAAGATGCAGATAATAATCTGGATTACGTTATGTTTGGCCACGGCGAAGGTTGGCGGCGGTATTGCCCTGCACTGAGTCACTCTCGTATGTATACATACACATGTATGTGTGTTGCATACCTCCACCGTGTCCAGTCTTGTTCAGAGATCCTATCGTGAATGCAGTTTTGTCTCTGTTGTCTCCCTCTGAGCTGCTGTTACTGTGTTTCTGTTCCGACAGAAAAAAGATCAGAGATCGACTTCAGGGAAAAACTCACCTGTAAACAAAACAACGCTGTTTGAAATCTGCTCATGGTGATGAATTTTGTGCGACCACTTTTAACTGATACACAGGTGAAACAGGACAAACGCACACATTAATGCAAACGCTCAAACCTGTCGACAGTGTGATACTGCAATAAAATAAAACTGACCAGGTTTGTGCCAGTTATTGAATGATCTCCCAACTATTGAATGATTGAAAAGACGATTGCTGATGCCTTTTCTGATTTTCAGATGATTTATTCATTGATTGGATGGTGGCTCAAAATGGAGTTAGTCAGTCTGTCGTGTACCTTCCTGAAAGATGTGTTTTACATTTAGAAGCAGGATAGAATATCAACCTAAAGCAGCAGCTGTCACCTGTCTGTATTTGGATTTAGGGACAGTAGCATTTGGAAGAGGCTCAGGAAGAAATCATATAACAAAGAAACATACCGAGGCCCAGTGTTTAAACCTGAAGATAATACAACATGTCTGTTATTGCTTGGTACAGAAGTGTGCGTCATAAGCCTGGGCCCCATGCACATTAAACATAATGTCTTGTATTCTTATTACCTAAACTCACTTTAAGTTTTTTACACAGTCACTGGACTTTACACCATTTCTTCTTTGGTTTTAAAGTTGTTCAGCAGGGTGTGTCTGCTGCCTGCCACGGGATCACCTTGCAGAACAGTCCGGCTGTTCCTTGAGGGGTGGGGTTCTTTATTGCCCTCCCGCTTCCTGGATTTTAACCTTGCTTACATGTCACCTGTCTTAGTTCTCACACCGCCCCCTTTGACATTGAGGAGGAGGAGGAGGCCAGAGAGACGTGCTCATACGGTTTATTTGACAAAAACAAAAAACGCAGACGGGCACGCGGGCGCATGTGAGACCACACAGCAGGTTGCTTTGACTAACTGCTGTTTCTTGGACTCCCTTTGTTTTCACAGAGCCCAAGAAGAGACAGTGCAAGGTGCTGTTTGAGTATCAACCACAGAATGAAGATGAGCTGGAGCTGAAAATCGGAGAGATCATAGAAATCACTGAAGAGGTACTTTTAACATCATCACTTACTGATTCATACATGTCACAAGAAATCTGACCAGGTCACGTTGAGTGCCCCTTCTCTTCCTGTGACATCTACACTGGCTTTAGTCTTTTTACATCAGTGTTTCAGCTAAACAACACACCAGACTTCAGTAAAATACTACATTTATGTTATGTTTTTAACCACTGAAGATACACTGACTGATGACTGGTTATTAGTGGTTGTGGCAAGTCGGAACAAGTGAGAGATCCGAGCGGCAGAGAGCACTTTGAGTAAAACAAGAAGCTCTAATATGTTTCTTTAAAAAAAAAATTTTGTGGTGAACTTGACTTGAGAAGGAAAACAGATCATTGTGATTATTCTGTATCGATTGATCTTAAACATCCTGGTGAATCTCCTCACAGTTTGTTTTTTTTTCTTCCTTAACTGCAGGATTGAATATTGGAGACAGCGCTTCAGATCTTGTTCAACGTGTTTGGTTTTTTTTTTTTTATGCATTGTGGATAGATAAGAAAAAGTGGGTGAGGTGCATTATCCAGAGCACCTTCCTGTTAAAGTTGAGCCTTGTGGAATTTGAATTTGTCTGTCTGTTTACCAGAAAAGCAAAGGACCTCAGCACCATCAGATTTATTGCATTACTCCATTTTTTTTTTGTCTGTGTGCAGGTTGAAGAGGGCTGGTGGAGCGGCACCGTGAACGGCAAGTCGGGACTGTTCCCCTCCAACTTCGTCAAAGAGCTGGACGCCATGGGAGAGGACGGAGAGTCCAACGACGCCGCAGCAGCAGATGAGACCGGTAAAGACGGAGACATAAAAAAAATAAAAAATAAAAAACCAAGCAGGACTTTATGAAGTGTGAAGGGTGCAGCTTAGGGAGGCTGGAATTTAATGTTTGCTTAGACTTGATGCCAAAACAAAGCTCAAGGCAGGTGCATTTGCTGCAGCTCAGTAAACTCTAATGTGGCTGTCAAGTCCGTGTACAGTGACATTTAAAATGAACATGATGTTCAGGAACGCTGTACAAGAACAATAGCAGTACGTTCACATAGTTTTTTAGTCAATGACAACAGCTGTTTACATCCACAGATATTTATATATATTTTCAGACATTTATTCTCTGGCTGAAATATTGAAATATAAGAACTGTTAATGCAGAGCGTTTTTCACCACTCTGTTGTTGTTTTTGCTGCTGCTGCATTATGACACATTAATGTGCACGTCAGTATAATTAAATTTAGTGGTGGAGCTGCTAAGGTGTGAATGCAGCCCAGTTGAAACAAGCCTGAACGAGGAGGTTGGCTGAGGCTTTAATCTTCTAAATCGTCAGTCTGCTAGTTACATGACTGGGAGGTACGGCAGCTCATTTAACAGCTGTGTGTGTGTGTGTGTGCGAGTGTGTGTGTGTGTGTGTCTCTGTGTGTGTGTGCTAATTTGATAAATATTAGTGCTAAATGGAATATGATACAAGTCCCTCATCCTGCATCTGTTCTACATACATGTGGTGACTTGAGTTACTGAGCTTTTATGAATTAATCTTTTCATTCATATATGTAATTGTGTAATACTGTAAAGCTTAGGATATACACAAACACAAGTGTTGCACCCTCCGGTGGCTGAAAGGGGAATAAAATTTGTATTTTACAAGACAAGTCATTTGTCTTGTGCTACACGGTATTACAGCGGGAGGGAAAGCAGTAAAATGTGATACTCGTGGATTCATTCACTCACTGTTGTATCTTCTCCCCAGATGCAAGTGCAGTGGAAAGTGTGACCACCCCCACATCGCCTCAGCCTGCCTCAGGGAACGGGGTTATCGCTCAGCCCAAGAAGATCCGAGGCGTCGGCTTCGGAGATATTTTCAGGGAAGGTTCGGTCAAGCTAAAGGTCCGACTGCCCAGCCCCGACATGGAGGAGAAGAAGGACAGAGTAAGTATGAAGCAAACTCAGAATATACAGTGTACATGATGACAAGAAATGATATGAAAGTTGAACATGGAAAAAAGCGTCATGATATGTCCTTTCTGTATATTTACATATATGATTATCACTGCAAATACATAACACTGCAAAACGTTGCATATTCCCCAGTATGGCTCTTAAAATGATCAGTTTGGAGATACTGAGCATCAAACATTTAGAAGATATTGTTCAGAAATAAATCTTTTAGAACAGCTGAATTATATTGAAAAGTAAAATAACCGAAGCACTTAAAGGTTTTTAAACTTTTCTTTTTTTAAAACAGATCACCAAAGTGGGTTTCAACATGGATATTAAAACTGCTCTTAAAACAGTTTTTGAAACATGTAGTTTTAAATTGCACATCTACTGTATTTACTATTTTTTTAGAGGATATTTATTAATTATTATTATTTATTTATTAAACAATTTGATAGCAAATGTGCTTATTTACTTACGGACTACACCAAGGTTTTCCTCGTATAAAATTTAAGAAAGTGGCCCATGCAATGTGTATTTTTAGGCGGGAAAGGAAACTTAGTGGTTAGTCCGCAGCCAGGTGCTAAGGCTATTTTTCTGTCTAAAATCTAACCTCCGAGATCAGTAGGTGTAAAATCAGCTGCACAGACGGAGGGAGGTTTTAGCAGAGAGTGAGAGAGAGTGAGAGGGTGAGATGTCGCACTAGTTCAAACAATGAAAAACACCAAAGTGATGCAACTAAAAAAACAAACTTACAGCAAATTAAAAAGATGCATTATGATTGTTACTTTACAGGAGATCTTTGTTCAGCACAACACAAGCAGTGATGCAACAGCCTGTTAATTTTCACACGACTTTTCCTTTCTCTTTCTCTCTTTGGTGTCTGGCACGAGTGTGTATGTTTGTTTCTAACGTAGTGACTCAGAGCAGCTTCTGTCCAGTGCAGCGTGACGAAGCAGCCAATCATACGTTTATTAAAACAGCCTCTTACGTTGTTTTTAATTTCTGTACAGATATAATCTAATCAAAGACGTTAATAAGTTTTACCAAAAATATCCCCCCTGACACGTATTTGCAGAAGTCTTAAGTAAACATCCCCCGCAGCCTCAATAACATCACGTTACTACATATACATGGCATGTGTCATTTCTCTCCATTCTTTATTGTTTTGGAGGAAATCTCCTGATTCAGCCTCACACAGATTTAGCATCAGAGCTCTGTTGTTTACTGCTTACACTGAAGGAACAGGCCCAGATTCTTTTGAAGTTTCTGTTTGTTGTGAATACACTTGTTTTTCCCCACCATCAGCAAATGTACCTGACAAAAAAAAAAAAAAAAAAAAAAACTCAGTGAGGAAATATTGCCCTCACCTCACACAGTTTTTTAGATTGAAGCTTGTTTCTGTCGTGGATCGTTTCGTTCAGTTTGCAAACAATGAAGTGACGATCATGCTGTGTGGGGTCATCAGCTGCTCAATCTTGCATTTTGCCGTTAACATACGAGACACACGAGAGGATGGGACCCGCTGGTTCACTGATTTAACACACTGACAAACAACAAATAACAACACAGGCTCAGTTTAGCTCTGATCTGAAACAATCCCGTTTCTTCCCCTCTTTCTCTCTCTCCTCTTCCCAACAGCCCTCACACTCTGGTTCACCACTTACACGGCTTCCTTCACTCTCCTCCACTCCTCACATGCCACCACGTCGCATGCTCTCACACTCTCCCTTTCACAGCCTCAGATGTCTTCATTTGGCCTCGACCAGCTCACATAATCCACTTACCCCAGCAGTAGAAATATCAAAGACATGCAGCATCCTTCTTTTGACATTTTCATTTTATTATTATTTTTTTTTTACTACGTTTTTGATCATTTTCTATTACACAGAAAAGTTCTGTTTTGTACTTTTAAACAAGTTAAGTTCAAAACTAACATACCCCTTTTCATTTTTAGCTTCTTAATTGCCATATAACTCTTTTTTTTCCTTTTTTTTTTGTGACTTGCTCATCATCATTTGCTGCAGAAAAGATCCAAGCCCTCTCTATGTTTCACTCTTTACTTGCTCTTTCAGTTATATTTCTTTCAATTAACAGCATTATTTATACTCATTTATACTTAATCACAGAGCCCCGATCAGATGATTCAACTCATTCAGCTCTGACGCAAGCCGTCTCATTGACAGGACTCCTCTACATGAGGCCATATATCCACCCATATCCAATGAATCATTTCCATATGTATGGTTTGCTTCATTTTAGCCAGTCCCATCATTACCATCTGCTGCAAAGCCCGCCCATCCCAACACGACAGACTTGCAGAGAGCAGACGCAGACAGCAAATCCAAAGGTAAAAGACTATAAAAGTGCTGAAAAGGATGGTTTGACATGTGGAAAGTGTATTTAACGTCATCAGGTCATGACTGTGAGAGAAAAACTGTTTTCCCTGCTTGTCCTGTTTACGTGCTTGAAGTTGTTGTGCTAGCTTTGTTAGCCTTATTTACATCTGTCATTAGTTACAGCTCCACTGCCGAGTAGAGGACTGAAAACCCTGTGTCACAGTTGTCACAGGGTTGTTTATGTGTTCGGCAGACAGGATGTACTGACTTTCAGATACACCAGTTTTAAGCTAAACCAAGATCTGGCTTGTGTATGCGCATTTGTGCTTGTGCTAGCATAGTCGAATAATAGCTTTGTATACTTACATGTAGCATGCGGATGTTTTCCCTTTGTGCATTTGCACGTAAACCCCCTGTGATCTGTGTATCCACAGTAATAGATGCCAATATTCTGCTTTCCCCAGCTAAAGAGTACTGCAAGGTCACATTTGCTTTCGAGGCCACGAACGAGGATGAGCTGAGCCTGAAGGAGGGTGATATCATCCACATCCTGAGCAAGGTAAGCTTCCAGTCCTTTGTGCATTTAAATGGTGAAACCAGAGAAGTTTTACTAGCTGAACTAACCTGATAGATTGGTTGTTGTGGGTGGTAGTGGTGTTGATGGTCGTTTGACAAGAGCCTCTGCCATTGTTGTGTTTACAAGACAAGAAGTCTTATTAGCAACTTCCTCAGTGTAACGACGAGACAGGACGGGCTGGAGTTAGCTGGTTAGCATGCTAACTTAAGAAGAAGAAAAGAAGTGATGGATATAGAAGAAAAACAAGAGTTGTGATAGCATTTATGTACATTTTTTTACCCTCACGAGTCTACACTCAATACCCCATAACGACAAAGCAAAAACAGAATTTTAGAAATTTTTGTAAATAAATAAAAAGAGGAAATATCACATTGACAGAAGTGCTCAGAGCCTTTACTCAGTACTTACTTGAAGTTTGTTCAAGTAAGTTCTGAGAGGTTTGGCAGAGATTGCAGCCTCCAGTCTTCTTTGGTATGATGCAAAACAAGATTTGCACATCTGGATTTGGGGATTTTCTCCTTCTCTACGGATCCTCTCGAGCTCTGTCAGCTTGGATGTGGACAGCCAGATAAAGCTTAGATAAAGGTCGCAGGTTATATTTTGTGTCATTTGAAAATCAACAGAACAGACTTTTTTTAATTAACAGAAAATACCTGCTCTGATCATACGAGTGACTACACTAAAACAAAACATATGTTGAAGTTTCAAAGCTGGCTCAAAGTAAATGCACACGGTGTGGCAACAGTTTTTGACAGCGTTTCCGGCGTTCGTCTTCTAGTTACCGTGTGGCCCTCGCTGTGTGTGTGTGTGTGTGACGAGGTGATGGCTGTTTGTGCAGACTGAGAGAGAGGAACCTTTTCCCTACAGAGTCAGACGTGTTCCAAGAAGACGGCAGTAACCTGTCACTCACTAATCACCTCGCATGTCTTCATTTCCTTCTTTCACACTTGTTGAGGCATTTACAAACAAGAGTGTGATTGCTGAGTAGCAGGAGAGGGCTTCGTTTTACTCTTGGTCATTTTAGTTTTGTTATCTGACTTGAATGTGCTAAGTCAGTAGCTTTGATCTTTCTGTCACACCTCCAGGTTTTTGAAGGGCCCCTTTAGCTGTCTCAGTTGACTGATTTAATCCGGAGAACTGGCCGTGAGTCCCTGTTGTAGAGTCTTACAGCAATCCATTACAAGGCAACCAGCTAACTCAAACATCCAGAGACTGGCTCAGCTCTTTAAGAATGACTCTTAAGTATCCTTACTCTGATATTTGATGGCAGGAGAATTGTGACACATAACCTTGATTCATTCAGTTTCACTGCCCAGAGGTTTTCTGGAAACCTACCACCATCTAGTGGTGACTGTACAGAAGTGCATGTAAAATGACCAGTAGCGCTAAAGTTTTTGTTTTTACAGTGGAGCTCTTTTTGGCTTTGACATTAAAAGGTCCTTCATGGAGGTTTTTTTTTTTCTGAATCAGCTTCTTACTGCAAAATAAAGCGACAACAAGCAGATAAAAGAGAGATAATAAGATTATCAGACAGACAGAGATAAAGTAAAGGTCACAAATTGGTGCTGTCACCATTCACTCTTTTCTTTTTCTTCTATCGGTTCTCTCACAGGACACAGGAGAGCCTGGCTGGTGGCGAGGGGAGGTCGGTGGCGCAGAAGGCGTCTTTCCTGACAACTTTGTGGTCATGGTTCCTGAGGCAGAGAAAGAGGTGAGATCACAGAAGGAATAAAATGAACATATTGGCATTTATTTTGAAAACTGATTCATTGCTTTTTTTTCTCAAGCAAAAGATACCAAACATTACAGCAGTAGAACTGCGGGTCCAACCTCCAGGACTTGTTGGTTTTCTTTGTTTTATGACTGTCTTTGGGTTTTGAACTGTTGGTCAACAATTCAAAACAATTTAATGATCACCATCGCGTCTTGCTGTCCTTAAATGAACAGTAAACGTCTTTGTGTCTTCGATGCATGGGCTCTAAACTGAAAGTCCCGCAAACAAGGTGGAAAATGTATAAATATGTTTATTCCCACATAATTACTTGTTTTTAAATATGAATCAATTGCAGTTTAATGTAGAAGTCTTAAAGATGTTGTTTGGTGTATTTGATTTGCAGTAAGAGATAAAAACCAGTCACACACATACATACACACGTATAAAAGATTAATATTTTCATACATTTTTGTTATTCTTTTAGTGATGAAGATCTTGTTTTTTTTTCACTTTTATCAGTTAAAAAGCTCCAACACTCTGTATTGTGATTAAATGTCTGGCAAATTTAAAGTGGAGGTGAACTGGAACATCTTAACGGAGATAAATATTACTTAACTAAAAAGAGGAACTAAAACAAATAATATATTTTACAGTAGGAGATGAGAGATCGATCCAAAAGAAATGCTCGTTTTATCTCAGCTCTGATATCTACGATGCGAGAAATCCTGCTTGATTTCTCATGAAGGCTTTTTCCACATTGGTACTACGGCCTCTTGATAATCAGCCAGATGCCTTTCAGGTTAAAGGAGCTTATCGCTAAGAAGTGTCTCCCAGGCATCTAGAACGATCATTGAAGACGGCCTCCAGGTCGCATTTAAAAGTGTTCGAGCTGACTGTGTCAATTCTGTTTGAAGGCCGAGTCTAACTGATTTCTCATCCCCACTCTCTTTCATGCTCCTGTGAGGGACATTAAAGCCCTCCGAGGTGTCCTTAAAGGAAGTGATTTGGAGGTATTTTACAGATTACGTGCTTGATTATATTCCCTGTGTTCATCTTTCAGACTCCAACGTCGAGAGGGTCAGTGAAATCATCACCTAAGCAGGAGTCGGAGGAGGTAAGCGAGCAGTGCCCTTGATGAAAGAAGATGTTAATTCTCCTGCTGTCGTGTAACACATTTTGATCACACACTTTGACAGACAGTGGATAAATACCTGAGGGAGTCCCGTCCACTGCCATAGCAACAGATCAGACTCACTGGCTTTAGTTTGAGAACTAGTTTAGACAAAAATTTTAGTCATTGGATTTTTGTCCGAGGAAATCTAAAGACATAGAGGATGATTTATATTGTCGACTGTCGACATTAATCCTGCAGTAGTCATCATTTCCTCCGATGGCAACACGAAAAGATAGCCGACTGAAAGTAACTGAAACGTTACATCCACGTCCACAGCACTTTAAGTTACAGTAAAGCTCCGGTAACTTACCTTTTCATGGACGTTCACATGCTTTCTGCACGTTTTTATAGTTTTTCCAGCTCTTTTGTTGCTGTTTAACTCTCAGTGGATTGCACAAGAAATCTAGTCCATAAATCTGTTTCTTCAAAAACGCGGTGACATCACATCGAGTTACTGACTGAAACAGAACGTCACAGAAGTTAAAATGCTTCATATTAAAGGTCAAGCAACTACATGAACAACAACGGTTTTGTAAATCCGGAGCTGCGGTGTGTGACTCTGCAGATGAATGCAGGTTGTTGAGTAAGACTTTGAATTAAAACCACAATTAGTTCATTTTTCCACTTTTTAATTATTGATGAAATATGTGAGACATTGTGTCTCAGGTTTCGTTATCAAAAGCTGTGGTCTCATTTTGGTCGTGAACAAAGATCATCAATGAATATTTTTCATCATAGTTTTTCTTGACAAAGTTAACACTGATGAAAATCCACCCTGGATTTTTTCCCCAAACTTTTCACTTTACAGTTTCAAACTTTTAGTCTTCAGGAACAACCAACGCCGACTCAGGTGACAACACCTGAAGCAGTTTATCAGATCTCACACGGCTCCTTCTGGAAGATAGAAATGTGTTTTCTTTTTTTACGGTGAGCTGGAGAGTCTGAACTGTGTTGTGCAGGAGAAATAACTCTGAATGCACGGATTAAACCCAGCCAGGCAGAGTGGAGACCTTGCCTGGTTACTCAGGTCTGAAGAAGGAAGAGTCCTGGTTCCAAACTTCTTCGATTTCAAAACTACAGCGAACACTCGGAGCTTTAGAAATTGTTCTGGTCTGAGTTTTACGTCGTTGATGTTCAATACATTTGCAAGAAATTCAAAAAATAAGTTTTCACTTTGTCTTTACGGGTTATGTAGTTTGATGGACAGAATGTTTATCCATATACAGTTGAATCTGCAACACAATAAAGTGTGCAAAAATCTGAAGCCGATGAAACCCATTTGAGAGGCAGATTGATAAACACTGGTCAAATGTTCGGAAACAGAAAAGAGACTCAAACAAACCTTGGCCTTCCCTCCGTCTGTCCTTTCTTACTTCATAACATCCAATGCAGAGATGAGATCAGTTTCCATATTCTTGCATGAGATGATTTTCCATGTTTGGTTGTTCAGACTCTGTAGGCTGCACACACAGTTGAATACGGTGACATGAAACCTCAAGGATACCGTGAGGTTAACTTCATTCATTAGTTGTGAGACCTTCAATTTAATCTTATTTAATGCTTATCAGAATTCATTTATTCAAGCTGTCACACTTCACACTGATCTCATTCAGTGAGAACGCTCTGTACACAAGACATCCTCCTGATAAAAAAGAAATAATCAAAATTGTTTGTTTATAAAGGTGTGAAATATAACCCTCTGGCAGGATGATATTTAATTGGGGAAAAAAAAGTGTATTCCTGTGAATGTGACTGTGTGACAGGCAACACCCACAGGGGTTATACAACAGGATTGGATTGTAAATGACTTGCTAACTTAATGGCTGTCAGCAGTCAGTGCACCATCACTGATTATTCAGCTGACTTAATTTAATGGATGGATATTGATGAAGATGATAATGTACATTCATTAAATAGAAAAAAAAAAAGCAGGCAGTCGCACAATCTACTCGAATGTTATAGGAAGAAAAAGTGTTTAAACTGTAGTGTTTAATGCAACACCCTTACAATAGATATTAGCTTTGTGAAGCATTACATGTTCAGTTTTGGTTGAAACTGTGTGGGGAGGATGTTCGCAGCTCTCCTGCTGTTACAGCTACAAAGAGAAGCTGAGACTCTGAGTGTGAAGATACTGCAAACGTCTGTTTTTGCTCCGTCATTGTGGGTTACTGAGTGTAGATTGATGAGAGAAACATGAATTTGAAGGATTGCAACATACCAAAATGTGAAAAAGTGATGGAGCCCGAACACATTATGAATGCACCGAGCATGTCGTGCCTGTAGCTGTTACCCTGGAAACCAAGTTTTGATAAGGAGATGAGCCGAGGACTGGGAACTGACAGTCCTGTGAGAGATCAGTCATGAGAAAAAGATGTTTCAACTTGGATACGATTTTTTCTCCGGGTACTCCGGCTTCCTCCCACAGTCCAAAGACATGCAAATGGGGACTCGGCTAATTGGATACTCTAAATTGACCGTGGCTGTGAGTGTGAATGGTTGTCTGTCTCTGTGTGTTTGCCCTGCGATGGACTGGCGACCTGTCCAGGGTGTACCCCGCCTCTCGCCCGAAAGGATGCTGGGATAGGCTCCAGCCCCCCCGCGACCCTACTAGAGGATAAGCGGTAGAAAATGAATGAATGAATAACTACTGCCTGTGGATGTAATTCAACACCTCAGCGCCCTGAATGTTTTGGGCCAAGAAGGTGTTCGGCTGTACGTGACCTACAGAGATGAACAGAGATGTTATTCTGTCATTGGTCTCACAAACACAAATGTGTTAGACCACAAAGCAAAAGCAGCTCATTGACTGGAAGAAACTGAACTTTCTCCAAGTTAGAATCTGTGCTTAAAGTGCAGACTGTCAGTTTCTGTTTCCATGCAGAGTTACAGCTGAAATCACTTTACAATTGAATTAAAAAAAAAAAAAGAAAACATAAATTGTTATTATTGAATTGGCACAAATGAGATTCAACTGACAACCATTTTGTCAAATTGAAAAGCAGTGGAAGTGTCTTTTTCTAGTATGATGTAGAGTATTTATGATCAATAATGATGTTACATTAGCAAAGTTCTGGTTGGTGTTCATTGGATTATTAAACTGAAGCGTAATCGAGTGTGATTTTAAAATGATACAAAGAGCTAAAAGATGTACACACATGATTTGGACAACATGATTGGCTCTTTATATTATTAATTAATTGTAGCGTAGCTCTATATATATCTAAAATTCCTTACTTTGTTTACTTCCCTTGCCATAAAAGGTTTGCATTCTCGTCTTTAATCTTGGATGTTATTAGATTTTCTCGTTGAGACCAAACCTAATTTGTTGTCCGTGTTCTCTTTCCCATCAGCTTGAGGTTTCTGTAATTGAGATAATAGATGCCAGTGTACATTAATGAGTCATCATCTACTTTGATGTAACTCTGACCTATCTTTCTTCTCTCTTTCTCCTCTTCTCAGAAACCAAAGAAGCCACCTCCACCGTCAAAAAGCATAGGTAAGGAACACCTTACACCCTCACCTCATTAAACGCTATCAGCGCAGGAGTAAGTGTGAGGAAGGAGGGGCATCGGATCTTGCAGACAAACACTCTCTGACAAAAGCACACTTCATTTTGAATGCTTCTGCTTTATATTCATTTTCCTCATTTACACTCACTGTCCAACTGATTTCAGGGATTAGTAAATTATCTATGAACAGAAGTTTTCTTAACAACACAGTTTGCAAATGTCACCATCATGATGGGCTAATACCACAGGTTGTGTGAACCATCATAGGATACAGATGCAGAGACTGACAGCAGAACAAAGTAAGACTAATGTATGTAATTAAAGATAAGACTTAAGACTGAGATCTGAGTAGTAGAATGCATTTCTGTTACACAGAGAAAGTCCCATAAAACACATATTTTCTCATTCACATGCTTGGTTGCATGTCTCTGGCTCAGTGTAGTAATGTCAATTTAAAATGGGTTGGACAAGCTCATTGTGTAAGGTGGAGTGATGATCCCTCCAGATCCTCAACGGCCTTTTAACATGATTGGGAATTAAGAAAAAAAAAAAAAATCTGTTAAAGGAAACGTGAATGTCGGATGTTTGCTCCATGCAAAGAGTGTGACATTTTCCTTTTTAAATATCACAGCCAAGTCACGCTAATTAGGGGTTTCTGCACGTTTCACCAAGTTACATTTAAACATTCTTAAGACCTTTTTAACAACCAGACAGAATTTAGTTTAATGGATTTTTCACAATCATACAGCAGAGATTAAATGCTCTAGATTTATTATTATTAATTATCTCCTTTGAGTTGTGATTCAACCTGATACTGGTGAGGAATTTCCAAGGAAACTCCTCTAACCAAACGTACGAGTCAAAGGCGTCATCGTCTTCACATTTAGTGGAGGTTCAGCGTTTGGGTAAAAGTCGTAGTGCTTGGTATCAGCACCAAGATCTACAGTTTGCAGAATGCACTCTTCTTCTCCTGTCTGCACAGGAAGTAACACAGAATTTGCACCCGTTGTGGTGTGTGTGTGTGTGTCTGTGTGTGTGTGTCTGTGTTTGTGTGTGTCTGTGTGTCTGCCTGCATCTGCTTCTGAGACATACATCAGTGAATATGTGCACAACTTCCTGCCTGTGTTGAGATTCTTAAACATACTGTACGTCTCAAACCAACAACACTACAAATGAATACACACAAATATACACGAACAGTGATGAACATGAAAGTGGATCAATATGTTTGTAAGTGTCTGTCTCTCAGTATCTGGAAGAGGGCACTGTGTGTGTGTGTGTGTGTGTGTGTGTGGGTGTGTGTGTGTGTGTGTGTGTGTCAGAGGTGAGTTTTTTTTTTTTTTTTATGTAATTGTTCTTGTGAAAGTGTGTGTTCCCTCTTGTCGTCTGTTGAGTCTTGAGTCAGTCGAGTGAGACAGACAGAGGTGACTGTTCTCTGGACCATGTTTCGTTTCTCAGGTCCCAAACCGGAGGTTCCCAGTGCCGACAGGAAACCCCATCCCATCAGGACAGAGGACAGAGGTACAGTCGGACTCTCCTCTCCTTAACTTTCATTTAGCCGATTTCCCTATTCATCCTCCCAGTCTCCTCTCATCCTCTCGTTTCCTTACTGTAACAGGTTTTCCTCCATTTCACACATTAAGCAGACGTGGAACGTTTCTTCTGTGGAAGCTCACGCTGCCGTGCCTCCAGGTTGTTTGTTTTTTTTTTTCTGGAGTGAGGAGCAAAGCTGACAGTCAGATTAAGATAGTATAGTCTCTTACTCAAGAAGCTGTTGCAGTTGCACTCTTCCTCTTTACTGCCATTGGCTCATGCGTGACTCTTCTGAGAATGACATTACTGTGCGTTGTGGGCTGTTTGCAGAAATATTAGTTTAAAGAGCAGAAACCACACATTGAAATGTTTGAACGTGGAGCATGAAAACTCCTCGAGAGCTGAAACTTTGTTTGGATTAAATACATTACATTTTGACAGTCATGCATTTTTCTCGCAGATTGCTCAGTATCCCTGGTGTTAAAATAAACTCAGCCTGCAGTCCAAAGTGTAGGATAAGCTGGAAAGCTATCAGGGAAAGAAAAAGAAAACTGTCTCTGAGCAAGGAAAGAAATCAGAAATCCTTCCCTCCCTTTCCCTGTGAAGCCCTTAAACTGTAAATACAAGTGGAAAGTTTGTTTCCTGTTTGGGATCCAGTTAAAGACAAGTTGAGAAAAGACTGACAGTCCTTTTCTGATGCTGATGAGTGACCATACCGAGCAGAACAATTCTGAGAGGTTTCTTTCCACCAAAACTGTCATAGTGGTTCCCTATCAGTGTTTCTTGTTTTTTGGTTTATTTTGCTCCATCTAACTTCTGCTTCCGCTCTGGTTATTGTGCTTATAGTTTTAAGAATTCGTTCTTACTCATGCGTGACTCTCCTCAACAAGAGACCTTCAGAGTTCTCAATCTTTCTTCACTTTCTCAAACCAGGCCTTTTTTTTTTTTTTTTTTAGCATGTTCTGCTAATCATTTTCAGATATTTTACTGATAACTTTAGATTATTTACTCAATTAAATTATATTTTGGGGACATTTTACTCATAATTTTTGTATACTTTTGTAATTTGACTATTTTTGTATATTTCTTAATTGCTCTAAAGCTACGAGAAAAGGGAATCGGGGAGGAAAATGAATCATTAACAGTTAGTAGTGACTAGTGGCTGCTCTGTGATTGCAGGAAACATTCATACCTGAGTTCAGTCTGTTTTTCTTGTAACCACATCACATGTTGAAGCTTTGTCAAGTCGTTCATGGTTATAAAACGATGTGGTGTCAGTGCCGTTTCTATGTTACTGAGCCACACACAGGAAATGAGCTGTGTGTGCGTGTGTGTGTGTGTGTGTGTGCGTGCTTGCATGTGCAAGAACTTGCCTAAACTGCTGAGTCAGTGTTGCATCTTTTGCACCTCACAGTAATGAATTGTCTGTTTAGAGTTCAGTTTGGCGATAAAGAGCTTTGTTAATCAAAATGAAAACTGATCAATAATAGAATATTAATAGTTAAAATTATGAAATGTTGATGGGTAAAATAAATGTCTCACCTGCTCTGTCACAACGTGTGAACATTTAGTGTTCCTGGAGAAAAGATAATTACATGATGAATATGAAAACAATACAGAAAATAACTTAGAAAGAAGATGTGTATAATAATATAATAATAACAAAGACGAAACAAAGCAAGTAAACCGAGGATGTTTTCTCTGTTTTCTCCTCACAGTTCCGTTATTTTGTCATTTTACCGACTAAATGTATGAGACCAGTTTCCCACTAATGAACGGTGAAGTGGTGTCAGACCTTTGACCCCTCTGTATGTCATAGTATCATATAATGTCTAAAGATTAATGCCTTTAATCTTCAGACATTATTTGAATTTTCTAGGTGCATCCATCATTCAGAGCAGTTGATTATCCACTTACGTGTGTTTCAGCCCAGCAGCTATTAAAGCTCAGTGTCAGTGCAGCGTGTGAATCTTTATTTATTAATTTCACTATTCTTTAATGTCATGTTAAACTTGCAGCGCAGGCGATTGTCACTTAGAGTCATTTGAGAGGAGTTTATCTCCACATATTAAACGAGTTCATGCTAATTCACATGCAAAACACACACGCGGCATCAAGAGCATAAACATCATACAAGTATCTGATTTGACTGAGAGCGACATTAAAGTTAATTTAGACTTTAAACTTTAACTTTCTCATTGAAAACAAGTGAGAGTTCATCAGGTTGATAAAGTATCAGTCGATCTAAACATGCTTGTCTTGTTACTGTACGATATCTTTTCATTTCTGACACATGATAGGAGTTTTTTAGTTTTTGTTTTAGTATAAATATAAAAATAGCAGGCAGATTCCAAGCCAACTACAAACAATGACAGCGCTGAAATATGACATTTACAGTGAGGGGGCAGCGGGATCAGCATCACCTCCTCCAGGTCACCTAGCGATGGAACAGTCATTTCTGCAGCTCTGTCACTTTTGCACACTTGTGTACGTGTTATCCTCTCATACACGAAATAAACCAGAAACCCTCCCCCTCACCGCAGGGTTCGATGTTGGCACCCTCAGATTGGTCTTTCACATCTCTGCTTTAACCTTTTCTGACACACTCAAGCGTTAGTCACAAAGTGCAAATGCATGTGGCTCGCTCTTCTGCGCCTTCATTTTTTTTATTTTTTATTTTTTTGCATGCAAGGCTTCACTTCAGTAATTGCTGTTATTATCGCCAGCTCGTTGGCTCCACCGCGTTCGACGTCTCTGTCCTCTTTCTTCCTTGGTTTGTTTCTGTTGCTTTTTCATCCCCTCTGCCTCTGCATTGTCGTTTGTTACATCGGCCTCCGCTTCCTCTTTTCTCTCCTCCACTCGTTTCCTAGCAGGTCCTCGGGGACGTGAGGTCTCGCAGTCCCACGAGTCTTACTTAAGTTCAGTGAGAAGGGACCAGCAGATAAACAGGGGTGAAGACTTCACACTTCAGCTGTGTTGTGGAAAAACAGCCAATTACTGCACCAGCTGAAAATTACATTATAAAAATATTTCGTAACACTTGCTGAGTAAACTATATCTGACATCTTTTAAATATGTGAAAAACACTTATAGCCAGTTAAAGAAAAGTAACCCTATAAAATAATCTAATTTTTAAATTGAGTTAATTAAGCAGCTTGTTCGCTTTTCTTCTTCTAACCTCAAAGAGAGCCACTAATTGACAATTACTAAAATGCCATAATCAGCCATCTTCCCTTATAATGGTCTAAAACCTTTTCCTCTGACGCACTCGTTGGTCTCCTAATCGCTCCGCACAGATCTGATGTTTTCCTCTGACTGTTTCTCACCTCCTCAGTCGACCAGAAGCTTCACTGGACATTTAAATCACATGCTCGCGATTCATATGTGAAGCAAAGCTGAACGTGTACGCAGTGTTCAGACTGTGGGCAAACCGGTTGATGGACGGTTTGAGAGGTTCATTGTTGTCATTTTTGTGCAGCCCCAAATGTTTTTGAACAGTCAGCTGGTGTATTTCTCTTGTGCCGCTGCAGCGCTTCATGATTTGAGGATATTGTGAAAGTTTCTAATGGTTCATCATCGCCCCCATATTCGTTGTTTCCATTCAGAACAAAATGTCATTGTCGGGTAAACGAGGTAACAGGGCTGATTATTGACTAAGAGTTCAGCTGTGGTCCTTTCAGCTCAGCACAAAAACAAAACAAAGACTTTTTGTGACTCAGACTTAAAATGATTTACTTCAGTCACCTTCAGCGGGAAGGTGAAATTTAGTCTCGTCAGTTTAACTGTTATATTTCTTGTTGAGGATATAGTCTCTCTCTCTCTCTGTTGCTTCTTCCTCCTCTCTCTGCCACGTCTCCTCTCTCACGTCATTCACTGTTTTCCCATCATTTTGACCACCTTCTCCTTTCCAACCCTCCTCTCAACTCTTCTCCCTCTGTTTCAGTTGACAAACCCACGCCAGATCACAAACCATCCAAGCCTGCAGCGCCAGTGGTCCCACCCAAGAAGCCGATCCCCCCTCCAGGGAAAGGCAGACAGGGAAGCATACCACCAAAGAGGCCCGACAAGCCTCTCGCTCCCTCGCCAAACCTCAAGTAAGTCCCCGAGTAAGACTCTGTGTCTCTCAGTCTATCACCTCTCCATCCATGCAGCGTGTTTGTTCGTCTATTAGAGCACTACTGATGTTTTAAACAACACCTGTCCAGTGCTTTTCTGTCCAAACGGTGTTCTATAACAAAGACAGGAAATAGTATCCTATAAAGAGAGTTCACTCATTTCATGTGGTTTCTTGTGGATTTGGTAAATGTTTTGATCTTTTATCTTTTCTTTTAACTGCAGGCACAATGGAGAGGTGCCTTCCACACGACCAAAGTCCGACTTTGAGCCATTATTGCCCAACAAACCCAAAACACTGTCTGGAGACTGGGGGGAGAAGACCTCTGATATGGGTACGTACAGCGCAAACGATTTCAAACTACAGTCAAAACCCTGAATAATGGAGGAGTTTCTTTTTGCTCGACATCTTGATTGTCATCATTTTTAGCAAGAATGAGCTGCATTCAGGTATAGAATTAGTTTTCTTCTCACTTTGACCGCTGGAACAGCTTTTCAGTTTCTTGTCTTTTGGCCACAAGCTGCAGACGAACGAGTTCCCCAAATTATGTTTCCAGTAACAGCGAACAATCTCTGTGAGTGACGGCTCGCAGACAGTGAAAAGAACGAGTCTTATCTTCTTCGATTCAAGTCTGGATCAATTCACGAATGTCAAAAATCAAATTTTGGTATTAAATCTCAACAAAACCTTCAGCCAACTCTGATCGGCATAAGAAAGTAACTCTGTCCACAGGCTGTTTCATTTTAAAGGACATACATCTGGACATAGTTGTGGACAACAGTGGCTTTTACCAGTACTAACATTTCTATCAAAGAATGTTAATAACAGCACAAGTTTTTTCTTGTCGTCCCTCACTTCAGAAAACACATACCAACGTCTGTCTTCATTTAACCACTGATTCTGGTCAGTAACATTTCTCTGTATTTTCCTCCTTGGTCAGACAGTGACCTTCATCTGGACCAATCAGCTTAATTGCCAGTTATTGACTGATATTGATTTCAGTAGTAATCGAGAATCCGGTTTTCAATGGAGAATTGATTAGTCTCTCGGCATGTTTGAGAGACAAGGATCTGCTTGTATTTTCATTGATGTATTCATTTAAGAGAGTTTATTACTTACAAGTTGCCATTAGAGAAAATCTATTAAAAATCTTTTATAATTTATCTATAATTAAAACACAAATAGTGAAACTAAAAGGAAGGTTTTGCACATTTAATGCCTAAAGAAGAAATTAAAAAATGTATTTCTGCCGTTTTATAGTTAGTTTCAGACAAACGTGATACTTTAAAAGTATAATGAGTCCATCAAACCCTGAGGCTGAATTAGCTGCAGTTTAGAGTAGAAGAATACCTTAATAATAAATGGTAACACTGAGTGAAATATTCCTCATTACCTTTTCCCTCACATCAACCTTTAAAAAACTGTCAATTAACAGTGTTCAGCTTTCAGTTTTTACTTAATACTTATAATACTTTAACTTTCAGTTGAGTTTGGAAAAAGTTGATCTGTGCATCAATATGCAAATGTGCCTTCAATAAAAACTTTGAAAGCCCAGAGGAAGATATGCAGCTTTAATTGACATCACCTCCCATAACGAAAGTAGCGCAGTGTACGTCTGAGAGAAATCAAAAAAGACAGGAGGTGATAAAGAAACTGTGGAAAGGGGCATGAACTGACATCATTGAAAAGATTAATAGTTTGGAGGTTGATGTTTTGAGAGAAGGAGAGGAGAGTTTCATGATAAATGGAGGCACGGGTTGGAGCAGAGAGGGAGGCAGAAAGGTCACAGAGAAAAGACATCTGATATGGGTTTAATAGATCCAACCTTAGGGAGTTTTGTGTTCATGGCAGATGCCTTGTAAAGGTGGTAAAGAGCTGCTAAAGCTCCTCATCGCTCACCACAAGCCAGTCTCACACACACCTTATTGTGGAACATGAAAATTCAATCTTTCCTCCAGTCACAGGCGCTGCCATCCAACCGTCGCAGGTTACCAGTGGGTAGGTGCAAAGTGCTGTCACACAGCAGCCGAGAAAGTCTTTCAGCGTTACATAATGATAGTGGGAATGACTCATTCTTTCCTTTTTATTCTTCATTCCTCATACCGACACCCTCGTAAACAAGCTGTGTGTTTACTTCAAGGTACCACACATAAGCGGTTAACTGCATAGCCTGAATGTGAAACAGTGGCTTTTATTTCCCCTTCACCGCAGAAGGAACCAGGAGTGTATTCCTCATTGTCTATTTATTGCAGTACACACTCTCCAGTTTTCATTCACTAATGGATTACAGTTGCTCCTACGTCGCTCTTTTTGGCTGGACCACAGCCCAAATGTCCATGACTGACTGAGTGATCATAGTTCCGCCATTGTTCAGCCGAATGCTACGTGACTGAGCTGGAGTTTCCCCATTGGCCGTCGTTCTTTCAAAATGAATCGAGAACAGTTTACAGCGCATTTGTTGCTAGATTTAGACTTTTTTTTCAGCAACAAATCTAGTGAGTTTTTGGACAAAGGTTAGCTACTTTCCATGGGAGAGAGTTGCCAGCAGGGTTTAGACTAGACCAGAACGATCCAGAACGGCATTTTGACACCTTGGATTAATAAGTGAACAAATCTGAGTGTCTAAACGGAGAGTGAGCCACATGCTAGGTCTAGTCTTGTTTTTGATTGCTGTTAAACTACCACTGACGCTGCAGCAAGTAAAATAAAATCCCTCTTCTTTAGAGCTCTACTGTACCATAAAGGAAACTAGCAACACATTCATGTCATTGACAATATGAGTTCAAGGTTTATACTTATTAAAAGCCAAACCAAGTATGAGAGTTAAAAACATGAATATCACCACTTCTAAGGGACCATGATCAGATCAGAAAATGGCGTCATATGAGGGAGCTAAGAGGCACTACAGAAACAAATAGGAATCTCGTGTTCAGTACACACAGCCTAATAAGGTCAAAGATCATTTACATTGTTTAACTCTTCTGTTTCCTAAAGAGGTAAAACGGGTAGAGGAAATGCTATCTATTTATAGTGCTAGCTTTAGTCTGTTGGCTAATACATCAAAGAGGCTAAATGCTGCCTAAGGAAGTGCATACTCAAAATATCAGAATACGTTATAGCTGAGCATTAAGGCCTGTGAACAAATTTTTTTGTTTGTGCTTACACCCTTAAAATCCATAAAGTCCAAAGTGATTACGCTCAAGTTTAAAATTTAAAAATGTCCTCACAGAGTCTTTTAACTTAACTTAACTCACAATTTGTTTTCATGTTGTTGTTTTTTTGTATTGACTTCCTAAAATATGTCCTAATTACACTGTTGAGTACAGCTTTTGTCTGCTTGATGGACCATTTCACACTTGAACATATGAGCATATTAAATAAGTCATTTTATGCTCGCTGTTATCAATCGTTGGCAGGAAGTAAACCTGTGCCCAAGCTGTTTGCCAGCGCTTAGATCGCATTCAGACTGAATGAAATGAAATTAGACGTGTTAGTTCAGCTGTGGTTTGTTCCCTTAGTCATGGTTGAAATGATCCACTAGAAATAATAATATCATCTCATCTTCCCTCCTTATCTCTTTCTCCGTCTCCACCTCTCTCGTGTACCCTCAGCAGATCTGATGAGTTTTGATGAGTTGTCGTCTACCTCGGAGAAGCTGTCTCACCCCACTGCGAACAGACCAAAGATGCCTGGCAGGAGGCTGCCCGCTCAGTTTGGAGGACATTCGGTGAGGTTTCAGCGCACTCACACACACACAGATCACAGCTCTGTAATAGATCTACTCAAAGAATATGTTGGCAATACATTTTTCGTCAGACATTTGCTGCCAGCTTCACGTTCCTGACAGTTTTTAAATACTTGATGCTAGACACACATTTGTGCAGTGACAAAAAATAGCGTTTAGGTTTGATATCCAGCATGCACCAGGGTTTTTTTTTTTTTTTTTTTACTTTTTATATATCAGATCTGTAATTTTTCTTTTCTCAAATTCATGTGCATCTACATGGATTTCCTTTTGTCTCTGCCGACCCTCAGTTTTCTGAAACCTGTCACCTCCCTTCATTCACGCATTTTAGTGGAACACGGATCCACAATTTGTACTTTGACAGCCACTTCCTGACCATAGAAGATGTGGCAAACGCCCACTTAATGACAGCCCGCTCGGCTCTTTTCAAATCACCTTTCAGAGCAGTGATTTGTCAAAATATCAGTCGGCTGCACTCACCCAAGCAATTGTGCAAGATTAATGTCACTGTGGATTGGCACTTCAATGAATGTTGGCAGATGATTATCACATGTTTTTTGTCTCTATCTGTACGACAGGTAAGTCAGTCAGGAAGCTGTAAACTCAAAATCACATGAAAATACTGATGTAAATTAAAGACTAAATGAAACTCTCTCTCTCGCAGCCCAACAAGGAAGTGAGTGTGGAAAAATCCTTCAAGCTCAGTGAAGAGGATGCAGCCAAACCAAAGCTAACAGAAACCAGAAAGGTAAGTTCAATCATGGTCACGGATGGTCAACAACACAAATGGCACTTTATCCACCAACAGCAGGATCCATACTGTTAGCAGCCTTCACATTTTTTGATTTTCTGAGATTTGTCAACATTTATTTTGCAAGTTGAAATTAACTTTTGGCTGTTACCTAGAAAATATGCATCACAAACTGGTGGTGTTAGCTGACATTAGCTAGATAACAGTTGAGCAATGACCAACAGCTAATGTTAGCGTAGCAGGGGGTTGGAGTTCAGTTTGGATGATATCTGATATCAGCTTTAATTGTTAGCAGTTTGTCATTATTGCCACAACCAGACAACTGTGTCACAGTCATATAATAATATAATATAAGCTAATATTGCAGAATAAGATAAATCCTCTGTGTAATGTAATGAGTACAATAATGGGGAAGTATCACAGTAATGTAGTCATGCTCACTAAATGTGAGCTGTAGTAAATTGATTCAGATACAAGTTGTCCTCCAGCAAAACACAGATTAAAACATTTGACACAGACCTGGTGAATCAACTTTCGGGATCGACTCTTTCTTCTTCATTATTTCATAATTTCTTAAAAATGTTTTAATCTAATTATATGTTTAATATAGTATGTCTAATATGGTAAATGGACTTCACTTATATAGCGCTTTTCTAGTCTTCTTTTCTTATCGACCACTCAAAGCGCTTTACAATTACAAGCCACATTGACCCATTCACACAAATCACAGTTTGTGCGTTTTCACAGCGTCTCCTGTCCTTGTTTGTTGAAGCAGCGACCCTCCAGAAAAGTAACCGCTTAAACCGCTCCTAGAAAATCCTGGCTCAACCACTAATTTTACCACTTGTCTCTTCAGTCCAGTCTCGTTTGCTTAATGACGACATCAACAAGTGCATGGGAAGAGTAATGGTCGGATCCAATGAGTCCCCTTTGGAAAAACAAGTCAAATAATCCTGTTGTGTAAAACGGCTCTGTGTTGTTCTTCCTGTTCTGCACCGGTGGATTTAAGTCCTCGTCTGTCCTCCTGGTTCCAGTCGCACTGGGTTTAATTTGAGCCTCACCATTAACCTTGCATCACAAATGCTTTTTACCCTTGGGATGCAGGTATTAAAATGAAAGGATTAAAACATGCAGTGAACAGCTTATACAGTGTGTGGGGGGTACACTGTCTATGCATGAGACCAAAAAAACAATGACACTGTTTTGATCAAATGCAAAAATTTAAAAATCTTTGTTATCATGTCTAAACAACAAAAAACTGACATGAAAAATATTACATCACACCACCAGTCATCTAACGGTCACACAATCACACACACAGACCATATAATAATTATACCACAAGCACAGGCTTCAGTCTCGGCAACATCCGCCTCCCCCATTTACACCTGTGAGCCCTCTGTAAATGAATGAACACGATTCGTCACATCATCAATTAATCAAGCATAAATTGGCAATACTTTTGTTGTACGGTATTGAATAAATCAGGTGACAGAGCATGTGAGCCCTCTGCATATTGAGAGGTTGCAGCCATTGACACTGATTAACTGGAGCTGCCATGATAGAATTGAAAAGTAACAGTAAGTAACGGAGCTTCTTACTTTAAAAAAACAAAAACAAAGAGACGCTCAGAAAAAAATGAATAACATAAATAGAAATAGAAAGAGAAAAAGAAAAATGAGAGAAAAAGAAAGGAAAAGAAACTAAAGCCAAACTAAAAAAAAAAAAGGGAACTAAAAGTTAAAAAAAAGAAAAGAAATGTAAGACATCCAGTGATCGTGATTTTAAGAGATGCACAATCACCACTCACATAGTGTGTGTGGCCTTCAGAAACACTTCCGCCCTTGTTTTTTTTTATTGCTTTTTTAAAAATCTTTTTGTCACATCCACCTTTTTGAAAGCATGACATGGACTTCTGTCGTGCAGAGCTACAGCACTGCCACCCGCTTGGTTATTCCACTGTGTGATGGAAACGTAGAAGAAACTAAAGTTCAAATAACTTCAGTGCAGACGCTGGAGGTTTGAGCAACATGGCGTTAACAATATCACAAACATAAAAAAACAAAAAGTTTTTTACCTTCAAACAGCCTCACAAAACAAAACACACATGTCACATAATTGTCACCTTCCAGACTGTGAAACACTTCTCAGTGGTGTGTGTGTTTGTGGCGGAAGAAAGCGTGGAGCGAGGGAGATAGAGAGAGAGACGGTGGACCACCACCTGCTGTTCAGTCTTCCAGGTCAGGATTTCATTAATTGCCTCAGATGCTATCTAGTCTGGATTGGTCATGGTTAACTGAGACTAATTAGACCTGGCTGTTCAGCTGGGGGGGTACACAGCATCAGACCACCCTATTGTTAAAAGGAAACACACACACACACACACACACACACACACACACACACACACACACACAGACCGGTCAGAGTAAAGCCTGGCTTGGAGCTCTCATAACACAGTGGCTCAGACCTGCAGAGGTGAAATTACAGGACGTGCACTACGTGTGTCCGTCTTTTCGTCCTCTTAATGTTTCAAAATGAAATTCTGACCCCTGTTACATCTTCACCAACGACGGTGGAGGAAGAGAGCAGAAGAAAGTATGTGAGCCCTTGGGCGAAAGGAGACATTAAAGCCACTGGATTCTGGGCTGGAGCTGAACAACTGGAGCTGCTGGAGTCAGAATGGAAACGGTTCTGTGACGAAGACGTTTAACCACTTTACGTTTTTTCATGTCCATGAAAAGATTTATTTGTGGTTTTAAGAACCAAAAATCATCTCAATGTAGTTTTACATCTCCTCCCTCAGGCTTCTCTCTGGAGCATCAAGTAACAACAGGTCGGTGAGCCAATCAGAAGAGAGGAGGCTCTGAGCCTCTCTTCTGATTGGCTGACTGTTTTCTGAGTGATCAAATAAAAATATTGTAGATTTCAGGTAAAAACACTCAGAGAAACCAAATCCTGCGAGGTTGGATAGTGGGTCTGGGTGGGCGGGGTATTGTCGTGGTATTTCTCCCCTTACTATGATGAAACGTTTCTATCCTGATGGAAGTGGTCTCTTCCAGGGTGTCAAAGCCCTGCACAAAGGGTCACTGGATAATTTGCTGAGTGTAGACATAATGTGAAACGTGGTCTTCAGTCAGACAAGGGAATATGTTCATCCCTCCAATACACTTCCGCACCCTGAAGATCTCCAACTGTCTGCCTTGATTTTACATTTTTCCTCCTCTTTTTATCTCCACAGCCTTCCTCAAACACCTTATCCCCGTCACCGTCTCTCCAGAGGCCCGCCGCGGCCAGCGCCGAGACAAAGCCGAGCCCTGGGGCAGCACCGAGCTCCAACAGCGTCTCTCAGAGCAGCAGGGTTCGGCCGGAGCCTGAGGAGCCGAGTTCCCAGCTGGACGAGCTGAGGGGCCAGATGAAGGAGCTGCTGATGTCTGTGGATCTGCTCAAGGACCAGCAAATGTAATGAGACTCAGTGCGCATGGTAACAGTGGTTCTTGAAGGTAGGCATGTGGGGGAGGCACGGGAGGGCGACACGGTGGGGTAGGGGCCTTGACAGAGGCTTGTTACGGAGGGGGGGGGGAGGGCGCAGAAGTGTTAAATTGAATGTGTTAAACCAAATGTATCACGCAAGGTTTCTAAGCTTGTGGAAAGACGATGAGGTGTGACATGAATAATGAGATTTTCTGTTCTTGTGCATCCACAATACTCCAGTCACTCTAAGCTCTTTTTTCTTTTTTTTTCTTTTTTCAACCAATTTTTCCCCCATTTTCCACATCAAAGTGATGTTGGCTACTTAATACTTTTCTGTATCATTAAATATCATACTACACTATATGTAGGTCTGTATCCGTAATATGGATCACTGAGCATTACTCGTGAATTCAGTGAAGTGATTTAGAAACGGTGCTTCATGCAGAGCTGTTGTTCATCTGCTCTGACATTTAGTTTTTGTTTGTGGATGTTTAGCTCACAGTGTGTTGGCATTTAGGTTTTGTTTGATATCAAAAGAAACGTTCGCCATAGAGTTTAAATTAAACTTGTTTTTGCAAAGGATACACAGTAGTTAGATCATGCTGCGGCAGTGTACACGTGCTAATGAGTGTGTGTGTGTGTTTATTTGTTTCCAGGAAAGAGATAAAGGAGCTGCGACGAGAGCTGGATGAGGAGAGGCTAAAGCGTGTGGCCCTGCAGGTAACATTGATCCACACAGCGACACACCGCTGGGCTGTCCACATGAATTACTCTCATTAGTTTAGTCAAATATTGATGCACAGAGTTAATGCAGCACATAACTGACAGGTGCATACAGTAATGAGTTTTAATGAGCGAACAACAGCAGTAAGAGGCTAAAGAGACCTCTGTGATTAGTGTGGTAAGAGCTGGTCTATGGGCTCTCAAGAACTACTTCATGAGACCATGTTGGGAAACAGATGTTTTTACAGTTGTTTTTCAGACAGTCGTCTGTAACGTTGCCCTCAGTTGTTGATATGAAAAGTGCCACAGAAGTACAAGGAACTGAAACCTGTGAATAACTTTTCACAGCTGCAGGGAGCGACCCCAGGCTACAGCTTGTGAATATAATTAATACATTTTAATATTAAAATACTCTAAGCCCTCTGTGCCTCAGTGCCATATGATAATGTTCATTAAATTCATTAAAGTAACCCTATTTGTTAACACTTGAAGGAGCTATTTCTAAGTTATGTTATTGCTATATAGCTAACGTTAGCATTAGCAGCTGTTTACTTACTTACCAGTCTAGAAGAAATGTTGTGAGTTCAGCATCAAACGTCATTGCTTTACTCGTCAGGAGTTGTCTCCAGTGGTGGAAAGCAACCCTGTTATTTTGCCTCTATTTCTATCACTGCTTTTCTTCTACAAAAGTTAGCATGCTAATCAGCTAGCTCCCATCCCTTTCTGATACCGAGTCACCGTAGCGTCCAGTCAGCCCTGAAGAAGCAGCTGCTCAGTGGACGTATTATAACCTCTTGTATTGTAAACACAACAGTGGCTGAAGCTCTTGCCAACACTGGGAAGTAAACAGCTGTTAATGCTAACACTGGCTGTGTAGCAATAGCAAAACTCACAAATAGCTCCTTTAAACATGTGTTTAAGTGAATGAATCTGCTGGAGGCACATCAGGCCATGTTTTCCATCAACCTGTTAATACCTCAATACCAGATTTTTTTTGTTAAATGTCAACCCCATGATTCCTACTGCCTCTTATCAGATAAAACCTCCGGCGGGGGTTGTGCTTTTGTTTTTGTTTTTGTGTTTTTTACTTTCTCATCTTGAGCTTGAGACTTAAAAATGTTCACCGAAAGTTACAAAGTTTGAGTGAAGTGGCCATTTTTTAGAGACAGGGAGGGTCTCTTGAAATTCACTATGGAGTTGCATTGTGGGAACTGTAGGATCCAGCATTTTTAGAGTTTAAGATTTAGCATCGCACTCTAACGTTGTCTCATGACAGACAATTTAAAAAAAAAAGGTCAGAAGAAAATCTACGCAGCAGAACCAGAACATCCTTCTCTGTTGTCAATACCTGGTGCCTACATTACCCACTGTGCAACTCTTCAAGCAGAGATGAGGACCAGGATTTGGAACGCCTGCATATTTCTTTTTATTTTTGTCAGATGCTCAAAAGAAAATGTTTGTCAGTTAGTACAAATGGAGTACAAGTATAACCCATTTTTTCCAAAGTAATTTTACTATTTTACACAGTGTCTTGTGACCACTGAGAAGAACTCCCCAGCCAGTGTTTCTCCTCAAGCCATTCTAGCTTGTTAGCGCAGCGCTGAGTCGGTCGGCTGCTTTACTCGCTGACCTTCACAGTCCCTCAAGACTCTCCCTCGCTGCAGTCAGCAGCCTCTTCGCGCTCTGACGTGACCTGGACTGTGACCATTAGATTTTTCCAGTGAAACGGCAGCGGACACGGCCCGGCCCTGCGCAGCATGGCCCACATTATAAATCAATGTGCAGGAGGAGAGAACCTCCTGCAGAGAGCCCCAGGCATACACAGCCCACACACACACACACACACACACACTAGTCAAAGAAGAAGATAAAAAAAGGAAAGAATTGCCGTCACACTTGTTGTCCCTCAGGACTTGAGTCCCGGGACAACAAGTGTGATGGCAGTTCCTTCCTGTGAAGCTGCACAGAGTGTGTGATGCAGAGACACATTCAGCTCCAGTCTGTTGTCTGAGGCCGATCGAGTGGGAGGAATCGGTTGGACCATTTTACGGGGCTGTTCTACGGCACGTATGGACGATGTGTTGCGTAAAATCGAAGTAATAGTCAGACACGCGGGGCCTTCAGAGTCTTTTAACAATGTCTCGGGTTGAAAAATCCACACTGTAGATACCCAGTAGTTAACAGCAGGGGTCAAACAGCGCCTAAGGGTGCTCATTCAGATGCTTCCATCGTAGTAGTTGTAGTAATAAGGGTTACAGAAACAAGATGATGATTGGAATGGAGGATTTACAGCTTTCTCCCTTTTCCCTTCATGAGAAAATCTTCTTCCACTGACTTCACAAGTACTCAGTGTCTCTTATTATTTATTTATTTTTTTACCACCACTGCCTTTGAGTCAGTATCTCCAGAGCCCACCCACCCACCCTCTAGGTTCAGCTGTGTGTGAATTTGTACGGTTTACAAATCCGAGGGCCTGATTTCTGCAAATCCATGTGTGTCTTCCTGGGTGTGATAGAGATTTTTCTCCTGTCCATGATCTGTGGAGCGTCCTGTAAATATCCACACCTGTCAAAGTCCTACAGATTGGTTTGGTTTCATTGTGTGTGAAGGAAGGCAAATATTAAGGTTACAGTTATTATAATGTACGTGTCCGTATTTATTCATTGCTTTTTGTAATAATCCACTTCAGTGTGTGGAGTTGGATTTTTCTTTCTATTAGATAAAAGAATATTTTTCCTTTTGTGAATATGTCGTCCCAATTAAGGTTTTGGGCCCAATTTGATCCTGTATTGATCTTGATTGATCCACCAATATTAGGTTCAGTCCCATACTACTATTACTAAACGTTGATGGAACATGTGACACAAAAGATTGGGTTGTCTTAGTTACATTGGCAGATGTAAACTTGATCTGTCGAGGTTTATGTGCCCATTTTCATGTTGTTGAATCTGTTTCGTTTAGTTTGAGTACTAAGAAAGGATCTGAACCGTGTCTCCCCAGTTGTGTCTGATTCGTCCAGTTAGTTAAGTTCGTCCAGCCGCTTCAGCTTCTCTTTCTCAGTCGGACAGAGCTATACATTCTGATTTCCGTAACGCAAACATTTTCTTTTGTTTTCTGGGTATCGTTTCTTCTTGGTTGTGTGTGTGTTGTAGCGGCGTCCGGTTTCATGGACTATTAAGTCCTGTTGGTGTTTCTGAGTTTGTTGGGAAAATTTCATGTGCACGTATGTGTTTGGACTGTTTGTCCAATGGAAGTTGTTGCTCAAGTGAGTTAAAAGTTGAATCCACTCTGATCGATCTGCACATATAAAGAGTTAATGTTGCTTTTTCAGAGGAATGGAATGCTTGAAATCAATTTCCTAATCTGTTCCGGTCTATTTTATAACCAAAAGTCCCTGTGTTCCTTAAAAAATGTGTTAAGATGTTCTTGGATCGCCTTCAAATACAGCAAACTTGTTGCTTAGACAATGACCTGAAATTACTGAGCTTCAACCATCTTTCATTAAAGTCTGAGAAAAAAGCAGGGGGCTAAAGACATATAAATACTGGGCAGAATAAACTTAACTGGTCCATTAGTAACTTTCAAAGTCGTGTCCATCACTTTTAGAATCAGTGTGAACACGCTTTGTTAAGATTTGCTGCTCAGCTCATGTTCCCCTCCAGCATGGGGCTTCATTGTCATTCCAATTCTCCTAATCCTCGCCACTAAAAAATCCCTTCCACAGCGGGACACCGCCACCGCTGTGCTTCACAGCGGGGGTGATGTTGGCTGAATCATGGGCTCAGCCTCCTCTGGCGGATACAGCACTGTGAATTATTTCACCCCAACTTGGTCTAGTTTCCCAGTCTGAGCAAGTGTGTGTGTGTGTGTGTGTGTGTTTGCGTGTGTCCTCACAGATGGAGATTGAAAAGCTAAAGAGGACCGTCCACTCGACGTGAAGCTCGTGCTGCAGTCAACAGCAAGCCTCAATGTCAGCTGCCGGCCTGTCGACCAACCAGAGAGCAGGAGGGCAGTTGAACGGCTGGAGAGACGGTGGGGAATCAGATGAACCACCTCGAGCACAATCCTCTTTCAGTGATCTACAAAAAAAATAAACTCTCCCCACATTTGTAAGATTTACATTTTGCACATATAATTTTTTTCAAGCTAGATGTAATTAAGTTACAGATGTATATGTTTCTGTTTTTTTCTTTTTTTTCTTTTTTATTTTGCCAACACAAGAAAAACTGAGGCCTTACTTCAAACTACTGCGCTGGACTTGTAACTCTGCCACTCACACTCTCTCCCCTTCACTCTGGTGTTCCTCGATCTCCTCAGGGAGGAGGTTCACTCTCAGTACTACTGACTTTGTATAAAGCAGGGGGCGCTTGTTCTTTCCTCGCCTAATTTTCTTTCTCATATTTTTTTTTTTTTTATAATGCACAAATAGTTGATTTAAAGAAAAAAAAAAAAAAAAAAAAAAGTAAGAAAATGTTTGATTTCAGTTACCGACTTTGGATCCTCACAGCAAATTATTTTGTCTTTCTTCCGCGGCGCCTGTCAGCAGTACTCCACTCCACGGCTGCAGCGCTTCAGAGAGAGACACAGCTCTGCTTTCTGTTTTTCTTTGTCTTTTATATGTTTTCTAGCATTCCTATCCAGGGTAACACTACTGTGCCTGTTAAAAACAAAACTCTATTAAGTGTTTGATGGGAGCTTACATTTACCACGATGGTGTCTGGAAAATCTGCAGCATGATATTGTATATCTATATTTTTTAAGTCTACTGACATGCCTAGTCAAATGCTATACAGAGGGCCTCGTCTGTGCTGGTCTCTTCTATTTTTGTCAGACTGTTGCACCCACTGGGAATGTTCTCAGACCTTTTTTTGCCAGAATCTCTGCAGGTGATGCAGACAAACCTCCACATGCAAAAAAAAAAAAGAAAAAAGAAAAGCTCAAGGAGAAGAGAAAGGAAGGAGTTGTTGCAACAAGATGTTGGCACATTTATGGAAAAGACAGCCTCATTACAATCATCTCCATTTTTAATCTGGCCATCATCATCCCTCTCATCCCTGCCGCGGTCCACTCCACCTCTCCTCTCCCGTCTCCCGTCTCCCATCCCTCTTTGATTCAAAGTGAAATCATATGATCCGAGAGGAGCCTCGTCTCTCTGCTCTGTACTGTGTTTTGCACAGCACTCATCCGTTGTCCTGTCATTGTTGTACATGCGACATGCCTGTCGTCTCATCCACATCTCTTCCCACATTCCAAGTACACAAGTTAAAATAACTGGAAGCATAAAGTAAAAGCGTAAAATTATAATGAAATAAACTCATATTCTCCTTATTCTCATTGTGTTGAAGGAGCAAATGGTTAAAGCCCCTTTGTGTAGAATTGTGTGATGGTGTAATCTTTAAAAATTGTTCTCTTGAAACAATCCAACTGCAAATTGGTGCAATATATGTGCCTGCCGAAATGTCTTTTTTAGCCACGCTAGCATCACAGCTCTGGAGATCAGTCATCAGTGGGTCTGTCAGTTGATTGGTCAGTTCGCTGCTGTGGTCCAGATTGAAACATGTTGATAAGTATCAGATCGACAGACATTCATGGTCCCTAAAGGATGACCCTGGTGATCCCCTTTCTACATAACACCAACCAACTGGTCAAAGGTTTGGTCAAATATCTCAACATTTAATTCATACACAGGCCCGAAATTTACTACAGACGTTTATCATTATCGGATGATGTGTCCTTCTAACTTTGGTGATCCTCTGACGTCTCATCATGCACCACAATCAGGTCAAAACTTTAGAGTAACTTTAACACCAGGCTGAAAAGCAGTGTTTAGATGCCCTCTCTGACCACACTCTACTGGGTAACCACACCCACCAGTGATGTCACAGTGTACTCGCACACACCCTGGAGTACACTTCTGCGTCATTCCAGCAAAGGAGTTCAGCAGCAGCAATTCCTTTTCTTCCCCTCAAACAGTTCCACTAAGATCCGTTCTGAGGTGGAGATTTTAGTACAAAAAATACAAACAAACAAACAAAAACTTGTAATTGCTTTATTTGGTCACGTTGTTACGAAACATATTTTTGGAGTATGTTAACATTTAGTTCAAAATATAATCTCACAGAGCTGCTAGCATGGCTGACTCTCACTGGCTGACACATAGGGGCTTTACGATGAAGCTCATCAACAGAAAATACAAAGGGTTGGTTGCTTACTGCACATCGCTGCTCTGTCAGCACAGAACTACTGCTACACTCAGGACACTAACTGTTCTTTGTAATACTGGGATATGTGGATTCTCACCACTGCTTACAAGGTTCAGGGCTGCAGAAATGTAGAGCATGGTGCAAGTCGAACTAATGCGGTGTAGGATGCGAGTAACCCTCAGTGAGGCCCAACTTGTAGCCCTGAGCTGTGAGTGTACAGTGTGCAGTTCTGTGCCGATAACCAGTTTATCTCGGTGTTGAGATGCTTTTGAGTACCAAGTGTAACCCCCTCTGGCCTCCATACGGATTAGAGGGATATTTAAGCCCTGAGTATTAGTCACAATATTGACAGTAGATTAAATTTTCAAGTCAAATGTTCTGTAATTATTTCATATCTAATACTGTGGGGTTTTTTTTTGTTTGTTTTGTTTTTAAAAAAAAAAAAAAAAAAAATTCTTACAGATATCTCACAAATGTCTTAAAGAAGCGTTACTTTACTTTTAAACATCCTCAGGCTTGATTCCATGTGTCCAACGTGTGTGTGTGTGTGTGTGTGCGTGTGTGTGTGTGTGTGCATGCTTTCGCTGGTGTCTGCTCACGAAAACATTGAAGTGTAACCGCGTCCATGATGCTAAGTTCTGGACTCCGGAGCGCTTTGACCAAGTTGATACTGTATATCTGACCTTAACGAGCATGGCACTCATGCAATATATTGATGCCTGACGTAAATAAAACAACCTTTCTTTTAGCACACGACTCTTAAACAATGTGGCTGGGCAATGAAATAATTATAATGTGGGGAAAGAGGGACCAGGGGGTTTGGGTGACAGCTCTTCATGTTATATCTGTAATGCAGCTTAACTTCCACGTATTGTACATTCCAGAGTTTGACACCAAGAAAAACAAAAAATCTGTGCACATTTATAACATATTTTCAAGTGATTTTGTTTACAAGAGCTGTATCCTTGCATGAGCTGAGATTCTTTCCAAAAAATGAATAAATATCATCTTTATTTACTGTCACAGACTATTCTGTTTTTCTTTGTCTTTGTGCGTCTCTCAGTGGCGTGTGCTGACTTTTACAGATAGGCAAGCAGAGCTGAAGAAGCTACTACACCTCGCGCTCCTGGATCTGGCTGCATTCTGCCTGGACATCTTCATCTTTCTGCACTCCTTCCTGGCTGAACAAGTATCAGGATTATTCCTTTGAACTGACACTAAACATGTTGACCAAGGTGATTAGTAAGACGACTTATATTAATGAGATGATAAATCACAGTGTAATTTGCTAGTTTACTTGCTAATGCTACCGCTGAATGCCTAGGAAGAAAAGTGTTGAAGTAATCTTCTAATGCACAAGTTTAGTTTTCACCGGCATCCGCACATGTGGGTAATAACGCGTGCAACATCCTAACTGATCTCAGAACAGTAGAAGCTGAGTCAAAGACAGCTTGGCAAGCACACTTTGGCTTTAGCTAATCACCAGTCAAGGATCCCAGGATTATCCACATTGCGCAACATCCCAAAAAGCCTTTGTCAATGGGACACGGCCACGCCCATGAAAATTACACAACCTATATATATACGACGGCTGGTCGTTAGCGCCCAGGGACAATAGCCTGCTGTGGCCATAGGGGGGCAGTAAATTGGTATTGTAAAAACTGATGTCTGTTTTTAGCTGTAACTGGCGAAGCTCTGCGTGCCTTGTTTGCCCTGACAACTGGCATCACTTAAAAGTTTTCCCTGCCTCACAACAGCCTCGAGGCTTTTTCATGCTTGAATTCTTCAAAATGTCAGCGTTCTTGGAAATATTGAGTGCAAACTATTGAGTGTTCAGAGGAGAGAGAGAGAGAGAAAGAAAGAGAGTTTCTTAGGAAATGCAGCTTACAGTGAAATTAGCCGTTGGTGATGTGTTCATCTATTATTGTATCGGACTCCTTTCTGTCTAGCCTGGTGTGCCAGTTATTTATCAGTGAATTATAAATTCTGCATAGGAAGTGGACTGAGCCCAGTTATGAGAATGTGCAGTGTTTACAAATGAGGGATTATAAATGTAGATTTATAATTCTGCTCCAAGGCATCTGCTCTTATCCAAACTCCGACTCCACGTCTTAAAGCAATATTCAGTCGTATTACAGCCACCAGCCATAACTCTAACTCTTCACATAGAGTTGTATTACAAACCTTCGTCTCCCCTTGAGTTGAACACGTAAAAACTAAAATTAAAAATCTGCTTCGTCAGGAAGGAGGTGGTTTGTTCAGATTTCGTTGAGAGTCACTAACTAACACTCAATTATCAGGTTCTAATTAAAGGTTCAAACTCAACTCGGTGCATACCTGACATCACCTTTTTTGTTTTTGTTTGTTTGTTTTTTTTATTCATATAATACCGTGTTACTCATGGTGAGAAGCTTATAGAGAAAATGTGTTTTCCGCGCCTTTTAAATAGTTAAAATCATATTATTCCAGATTGTCTGATAGCATCGGTTTGCTGCTATATAATGTTTATGTTCAGTGAATTTGGCACCAGGTTTAGGTGTCAGTCTGCAATAATTCAAAGGCAAGAGCTTCTTTCTGAACAAGTCATTTCACACTGTCTTGAACATATGTGTTGAACAGATGTGCAGGACAGAATCACCATGAAAGTGGGAAGGTTATTGTCTCAGTAGACCAGACTGCAATGATACCTTAGCTTATACGTGTCGGAGAAAGTGTGAAATACAGAACACAGAAATGTCTCAGCACATCATTTCTCTTTCTGCTTCCTCAGAATAATCTGCTGCTGCTGCTGCTGCTGCTGCTGCGGCGCTAAGCAACTGCATGCTGCACAGTCTCTCTAGAGGCTCTTAAAGGTCATTCTCTGACATGAGGGTGAGCTTTAACTTAAGGGGTAGGAAGGGAGCCGGGGTCAGAGGGCAGCTGAAAATGTAAATTAGAAAACGGGAAACTCCTGGAGGTCTATTTTAAAAAGCTCAGAAGATAAAATCACCTTGTGTGTCTGAACATGTTGATGAATGTTTGTTTGGACAGTAAGAGCAGGAACAAAAGGCGTCCTGTGGTAAATGAAACCAATCCACCAGGGTTTCTGTGGCAAGCGGCAAAACAGGAAACAGTCACAAATGAGCATGATATCTGAATTTCCTCCTCCTCCTTTCTCTGCCACTTTCTTAACTTTAATTTGTCCTCTCTTTGCTTTGGCCCTCTTATCAGTA